AATGGAAAACGGCAGATTTCTAATCAACGAAGACTTCTTTAAAAAATTCAAATAGATAACAAATAGATCATACGAAATTATTGAATTCTTTTGACGACAAATCAAATTCACAATAGAGTACAATAGAGTCCAGAGCTGTATAATTTTTTTGAAAATTATATCTAATCAACATTTATTAGCTGATATTTCAAGACTAAAAAAAAATAATTGCTCTATTAGAACTAGTTAAATGTAACACGATTTAATTTTTTGGAAAGAATTCAATTGTTGCGGAATTTACAGTTCTTTTGAATATTCAAAGTCACAATTGGAAATGATGAAAGTTTTATATTCTATCGCATCGAAAGTTTATGTATTAAATGTTTAATGCAATATTTGCTGAGATTATATATTGAAAATTCTTCATCAAAATCTAACGCCGGATTGTGATGTAAGATTTGTGAAGCTTCACAAAGGTGCACAGTTAGTGGATCTAATATCGCATTTGTTAAAGACACTTCTATTATGGTTCCTGAATCACTTCACGAATCTTTTTCAAAATGGCTTTTGCAAAAAGGATGGTGCTGAACTTTCAAGATCAAATTAAAGAAACTTTTGTATCAGAACCCAAAACAGCTTTTTTTTTCTCTTGACGAGCTATTTCGACTCTGACAAATATTTGTTAAACTAGCTCAATGGATAATTGTTCAGATGCATAAGCTTATGGTATTGGAAATTCCGACGTTTATCATGTAATTATTTCTGGAAAGATATCAATACGTTAATTATTGATTCTTTAGATGAAGACTATCAAGAGTTAAAATGCTCTCTTAATCTGATTTCAACACTTACTGCAGCCGATCCAGAAAAATAAAAAAGGTATTATTCCACGATAAACTATGAGAACGTGCACGTAGCTTCCGTTGCTACATACTCAAAACTATATATAGAAACGATGTTCTATCAATTGTATTGGCTAATCAAGATGCATATGAAACAGAACCTAGACTGATGATTATATGAAAACAGTTTCAAAATTTATTTTGAGGATCAATCGCAGAAGGTATGAAGATATTATTAAAGCTGGTGATAATTTGTTAGTTCATTTCAATTGATTTATTAAATTGTTAATAACTATCCAGAAGACGATATAATATTTCAATTATTTTTATGTAGATCCGCTTATCCACCGGACCTTCAAAACATTAATACACATGAATTCATGTTCGTACAGTGCATAGGAAAATCTATCAAGTGAAATTTAGATGAGACGATTAGATGTTCCGAAATAATAAAATTAGTTGCGAAATTCCTGCATTAGGAATTTTAGACGATGGATTTTTAAGGGGGTTGATGAAATGATGTGTTAGATTCAGTTTGAGATGATGCTGCAATTGACGCTATTGTAACCAGTGGACCAGATAGCATTGGAACTTTAACTTTTACAATTGGAAGTATTGCAACTGAATGGTAATTAAAAAATTTTTATATTCAGTATAATGTATAATGTTGTGCTTTTATCATAGGGTTAGACGGCGTCATTTCACCAACACATCATTATCCATGGATGCCTGATAAAGAAAATCTTACTTTGAAATTTTATCTGATTTATTTATTAATTAATTGTCGGATGGTGTTTTCCGGTCATTTCCGAAGATTGGCTACTTGGATGAAGGCACACCAATTCATTTATCATCTGGTATTTATTGAAAGATTAATAATGATCATGTGTGTGTCGATTGCTATCTATCCGATACCTTCACTTCGAAATGCTTTCAGATATTTAAACAAACCGTCTTCAGTACCAAAATTACATGTGTATAATAACAACAGAACAGAGCAATAAGATCCACAAAGATGGCAAAGGTGGTAATTTAGACCAGATGGAAATGGTATAATAATATTTTATAATAATTCATGTGGTTTATAATCTTAAAATTTTAATTCTCTTTTTATATTTTTTAATTTTTTTTAAAAACAAAACCTAGTTCGTAGAGATAAATATGAGGATAAACCCTTGTCAGCTATTTTGTATCTATGGAAGGAATTGCACCTTTGAGGATGATGATGCGGGAATTACAGTTTGCAATATTTGAAATGAAATTACCAAGTTATAGCGTTACCAAATGGTAAGTTGCAAATCGATTATTAGCTTTAATTCTTTAAATTTTACATAAATAATTGATAATTTGTTTTCGTATTCGTTCCTTTAAATGCTTAAATATAGATAACCTATGATTGATGATGCCGAAATTACATCATAGTCAAATACGAGCGTCCAATCGGGCTCAACTTTTTCCAAACTTGCTTAAACATATACTGTTGTGAAATTTCTTTGATCTTACAAGAATTAAGGATGACTTTGATGTTAACATATCTCTTGGAATTATCTTAATTATCTTGCGATCTGGTTCGTAATTGTGAACTTGTATTTATGCATTTTCTTTATATACTTTTTTTCGGATTTGAATTAAATTTTAAATTATGCTTATTATAGATTAATTGAGTTTATCTTTTCCTAAATCCTAGGGTTTTTGGGACGTTAAAACCGCTTCAGCGCATTCACACAAAATAAACTTTCCACTTTGTTAGTTCAACTTTTACATGAACATTATACTGATTTAAGTGGTTCTATCATTGAAAAAAATAATAATGATTTAAGAGGATAGTATAATAGGAATTGATTTTTTTATTTTGATAATAAACACTTGATCTAGATATAACATTATATGTCTTCAATCAGAAGGATACCTATATAATATTAATTATTATTAAGATTAAAATGTTCTAATTTTTCATAATAGTACTAACACTAATATTGAAAACAAATTAAATACAATTTAGATTTCCTTTAGAATTAACATTAAAGTTTCGAATCATGTCGACTACCGAATCGACGATTAAGGGATCTATCCTTTCTTCATCAGGTATAGCGTAGCTTGGCATCGAAGATTATTTTGGCCATCCGTATCGACTGATAAATGAAATATCAGCAACCCTTGAGCGCCACCTTCATCAACCATTAAATTACGGTAAGGAGCACCATCACAATAATTGTCGGGTGAATTGTTTGGAATTGTTGTTGCATGTTCGATTATTTTTTCTTTTTACAAAATTTCAGATTCTGTAATAAATTAAAAACTGACTTTTACTATTCAACAACTGTTATCAATAATATCATTACGTTTCTTCCTAACGGGACGATAAACACGCGATTTGATATAATATCATCCAAAACTCATGTTCATGTTGAGTTTTGGATGATTTCATTGTTTTCCATAAATATCCAACAATTTTTGAAGAGAACGTTACTTTTCTCGTTCTTTCAATCATATCATCTCGATCTAGCAGAAATATTCTTTTGGAAACCTCTTTTCGAAACATGTAAACGTTTTTTTTGTAAAGAGATAATGTTATTTCTAGTTTCTGATTATTTTTATTGTGTTTTTAATTTTGAAATGGAAGTTGAAATTGCCTCAAAAAGGGGTTATGGCACTCCCAATTCTTATACCATTGGAAGCATAAAATGCACTGCCTATAATATATTAACAACCACGCGATATGAACCGCTAGTGATTTTTGTACAATTTTTTTTTTTTTTTGATTTTTGTTGTAGTCTTACAACAAAAAAAAAAAAAAATTTAATAAAAGTTAATTGGTGAAATAAGAGAATCTGTAATAAAACATATATAATATAATTGCAATTCATTAATTGTATTTCGACTGGCCAAGAACATTCGTTATTTTTCAACACGAATCATATAATGTCGAACGTGCTGTAATTATATATATATATAAAAAAAAAATTAAAAGCTGATATTAAATATATTAATTATTTAAATTACTCACCCTTGGAAAGCAATTGTTGAGACGAGGTTTATCAGAATCATTAATATAATAGTAATTTAAAAAGAAAAATAACTACAAAAATAAAAAATAAAAATGTAGTCAATCTACTTTTATATATATATAATGTAAATTGCACGATTCAAAGCTAAGTGAGCTTGTTGAAAAATTACTTTTCGGGTGAATCTTTGGTGAGTCACGTGATCGGATATCCTCAGTTAGTGTCATCATTAAAGATTAAAAATGACGTGCATATAATGTTCTAAAGAATAAGAAGAAAAGAATGTAATGGAATTGACAGTCTGTTTCATACTAGGACAGTTTAATATCATATAGCGCATCGAAATATTACCTTAAAGAATATGTGACATACTTTGCTCTCAACCATTTACATACATAAAAAAAAAAAGTCTAAAATTATGTAACTTTTTTATTCGAATGCATTTTGGTTCTAAATTCTATATATTAGGCCTGTTCATTTCTGATATTTGATTGGATTTTGAATTAATAAATTATTTGGCTGATGAGTTAATTTTCTTTTAACAGCAACAGCAAAATTTTCTCCCTCAGCAACAAACAACAAAAATTCTTCTGGCTTGATTTAATAAAAACGTTGTCATTATTATTAAAAAAAAGCAAATAAGCCGATCACGCTTTAGGTTTGGTTAATAGATTTTGCGATCATAATCAGACTATTATCAACGGAAAAAATAAACGTAATACATCAGCCAACAAATTTTATCTATTCCACTTCCATACTTCCATATGAAGAACGTTTTGTCATTGAAATTACAAAGAATCTATTTTTGATCAAACGAACCTCATTTTTTTTTACATTGAATGTCTACTTATGGCAGTGAATCCAATCCATTAATAATAATAATATTATTTATTATTATTTATTTTAGAAATTTTGGTAAAAAAGTAAATAATCCTTTTATTTGTGCTATATGTGAACCAACAAACAAGTTTTTTTTTTATAATCATTCCGCCAGATAAAAAATGTTACATTTAATTAACAAATTAGAAAAATAATAAAAAATTTTCGTTATAAAAGAACTCTGAAAAAACCTTCCATAGAAAAAAAAATTATCAGATTCAAAAAAAAAAAAAAATTTTAAAAGTAACCTTGTAAACCCTTTGAAATTCACAATTTTGCACGTTGTTCAAATAAAATGACAACGACACACAAGCACAATAATAAACCTTCACAGAAGGTCAAAAGTAAAGTTGTAAAAATTAAAATGTTGACTTTTGTCATTTGGGTAACGTTCGTAAATTCTTCCCGCGAACTGGGAAAAAAGATTATCCGACATACTGCTGGACGAGAGGAAGAGTATTCGGGAAGAAGAGTAATATTCTCCGTAAAGAAATTGGAGTATGCTCGAACGCAGCTGGTCAAGATGATTACACAGCTGGTCACTATCTTGAAATATTCTCGGCTCTGCTAAAGCCTACTGAAAGAGGAGAATGTCGCTGTTATTGAATTGACCCTGCCAAAACTCCTATTCTGGTCTACAGCTGGAAAAAAAGATTATCCGGATACAGCTGGGGCAAGAAGAGTGTCCGGAGATCATGCAGGAAATAATAGTAATACTTATTATTGATGTATTACAATCCATCCGGATACTGCTGCGCAAGAGGAGTATCCCGGGTACTTCTGGGCAAGAGGACCGCCTGGATACTGTTGGGCAAAAGTGGTGCCCGGCCCGTTTATGATGGACTAGAGCCAACTGCACTCTAGGCAAGACTTTCAGCAAATGACGATTATCTTTGGATCTTTCCCAATTTAACTCCCTGCAAATAATTCCCTTATTAACAACATTCCTACACTCAATTAAATTTAGAATTTTTTTTTTTTATTTTTTTACTAAATTTATTACATTTTATCTGTTTTTAATAATTAATAAATAATAAAATAAAGTAATTTTAAAATTAAATGTTATAATTATACATAAACGACAAAACATTAATATATACCATTATACTGAGTAATAATTTTCGATAATTAAATATTCTAGAAATTACAATGAAAATAGGCCTGTTTCCAAGTACTACTCAATAAAATTTCAAATTATTATACGTTTAGATGCGAAAATTGAAAATTTTTAAAGTAAAGGAATATTATATACTATAGGTGAGGCCCCAAGTTAATGATCTGCCCCAAATGCAAATTTCAATTTCGGGCAATCCAATTTGAAATTTCAAATTTGGGCAATGCGATTTTGCTGCCTCAATTTAAAATTGAAAATTGAGACATGTGGTGAGTGACCCAAGTTGACTATCGTCCCAATTTAAAATTGAGGCAAATTGAAAACTGGGAATATAATATGCCCAAGTTGGCTATTGCTCCAATTAAAATTGAGGCAAATTGAAAACTGGGAACGCGATACCCCAAGTTGGCTATTGCCCCAATTTTTAAATTGGGGCCAATTGGAAATTGAGAATGCAGTGCCCCAAGTTGATTATTACTCTAATTTAAAATTGGAGCAAATTTGAAACTGGAAAAGTAATAGACAAGTTGACTATTGTCTTAATTTAAAATAGGATAAATTGGAAACTAAGAATATAGTGGCTATTGCCCAAATTTAAAATTGAGATAAAATGTGATTTTCAAGTTATAATATTTTTTTGCTTTATAAATTAAAATCATTATTAAATTTACTAAATAATTAAAATAATATTTTTATACAAATTTGCTAAAAAGTAATTTTCTTTATTTAATATTTAATTAAAATATAAAAGCTATTTTTGAAAATTTATTAATTCACCTTCTATAATAATAAAATAAAATGATAAATTTTATTTCAAATGAAAAAAAGACTAAGTCAAAAAATAAAGGTTAAAGAAAAATTTAAAATTTTAGTCAAACAAAAATGTCACAATTGATCATCAAGACACATAATTTATTATAGCTAAGTTTGGGCATTAAATTCAAGATGCCCCAATTTAAAATTTAAATTTGGATTGCCTAAAATTGAAATTTCAGTTCTGGGCAAAATAAATATGCTTTAATTAAAAGTTGAGATAGGATCACAATTTAGAATATAACAATTATTACATCACAAAATTTTTAGATTTGAATAATTCTACATAGATTAGTTCAGAAATACATAAAATTCTATAATTGAATTTTGTGAAACATATTTCTAAAATGATTTACAAATTTTATGAAAGATCTATATAAAATTTTGCATATAGTAAAATTTTATCAGAAATTCTTAGAATTCATTTGCAAAATATATGGATTTCATTTGCAAAATATATAAAAATCATTTAAGAAATCATAAAATTGAAGTTTATTATAATTGTATTAGAATATATAATTTAAATTTTTATTATATATCTTTTATATATAGTTTTATAACTACAGTCAAACCTCTATATACCGATGCTGCTATTTTGGGAAAAAAGTATCGGTATATCAAATTATCAGTGTATAAAAAATTTTATATACCGATATTAATATTGAATGTTTGATC